AGAAGCATATAAGATGGTGTACATCTGATTTATTTTGCACCTGGAGCTAGAGTGGTGACAAGATCTTTGGTGTTTGGCCGGTCCCTTGGTTCATATTGCAGGCATTTTGATGCAAGACTAAAAACCACAGTTGCCTCTTCAGTCGAAAAGTTTCCTTCTAAATGGGAATCCATTAAGAGAAGGATGTTTTTGCCACGTATCATATCAAGAGCCTAGGTAGACATGAAAGAAAGTAAAGCAAGGTTGTTAAAACCATTGATTTTCCTCCAGAAGAACCTACAATATGGACTTTGCTGTCCCACAAGTTAAGCAGCTAAAGCTAAATGAGCAGAACTGATGCATGACAACTATGTTATCATATCTTCATCCAACTTTCAGACCAAATATTAGAACATAATGCAACAACATACTCACATGACTAGGTGGAATGTGCTTTCCACTGAGAAGATCCAAAAGGACAGTCCCAAAGCTGAAGATAACACTTTCAGGAGTGACCCTTCCTGCAGTATAAACATAGTTCATCCAACTAACATTAGCCTATTCATGTTTCAGAAATATTCTTAGTTGAAAAGTATCCCTACTCAAAACAGCAAAAGATTGATGTTCAAATAGTAGATTAAAATGATAACTTGATGGTGATTCATGCTCTTGACAGAATTTCAATGATTTTTACCAATTTCTGAACATAGGAAAAGGATATCCAATAAGTTAGTTTTTTTACTGGACTCTTTTTCATTTTTCTTCTTCTCTAAGGGTTACAGGGGAAGGAGAGGAAGGGCCTCTGCTGAGTTAAATCCAGGAAGTAGCTTCACTATGTCCACTCATAGGCAAACAGAAGCATTTTATAAGTTATCAAGCTCCACTCTTTTTTTTTTTTAAATAAGTTATCGAGCTCCATTCTTTTTTTAAAATAAATTATCGAGCTCCACTCTTTTCCCGAACTTTGTTTTTGAGATAAAAAGTGACTCTTTTCCCCAACTTAATATGTCTTATCTACCGTTCTATATTTTTTTTAAAGATATCCAAAATTCTATGATTTTGCTTTACAAAGAACTGCACTTCTACTTTCCAAGATTCCATGAGACTCTTTAGTGCCCTGCTAAAATGACTTAAGAAGATAAGAAATTAAATAAAAAGGAAAGAAAAAGCCAGGCTTCCTAGCTCAGGTGGCACCAAATTCCATTTAAAGAACAATATGGGGTGTGTCCAAACCCAAAACTAAACATTTCCTGGAGGTTGTCCTCCTATAATCATGGGCCCATACCATATTTTGAAAAGGAAACCATAATATATAAATATATATATATATATATTGTAGAATAGTTAAAAGTAATACCATTTCTTAGATACTCAGGGGGAGTGTAGGCAAGATTTGTGCTGTAACTTTTTCCATCCCTACTATTTTTCATCAAGCCAAAACATGAAAGCCGAGGATCACCATTCTGCCAAAACCAACCATTAAGTTAGCACTCTAGTTCTATAAATTCAAACAAATCTGGAAAATAGCAGCCATTCTAAACAATTATAGAGATAAAAGTAAGCAACAAAAAATCCAGAACTGTAAAATGTAAATTCCCCCAAAATGCTAGATATCATAACTCATCGAGCTTCAGAAAATATACCTCGTCAAAAAGAACCCTATATGCATTCAGATCATGGTACAGTGGACGACCTTCACTACTACAATAATCTAAAGCTTCAGCTATATAAAGAGCAACTCTTAACCGCATAGCC